AACTTCAAACTCCTGGGCTCAAGTGATCTTCCTGTCTCAGCCTCCAGAGTAGGTGGGACTATAGGCATGTACCACCATGCCGGCTAATTCTATTTTTAGTAGAGATGGGTCTTGCTCTTGCTCAGGCTGGTCTTGACCTCCTAAGCTCAAGGATCCTCCTGCCTCAGCCTCCAAGAGCGCTAGGATTCCAGGTGCAAGCCACCGCGCCTGGCTGATATTATCACTTTCCTTGTAGGTATGGAAACCCAGGCTCAGAGAAGTAGTGGGTCTTGGTCACATGGATAGGAGCAGGATGAGAGAGGAACAGATCGGCTGACTCCAAAGCAGTGCTCTTGCCACCACTTTTATTCCTCTAAAGTGAGCCCAGGAACAAAGTGGCCAGAAGCCACAAGGGTACTGATTCCCTGACATCTTGGTTGTTCAGCAAACATGAACTATTCATAGTACTGTCTTGTCAGCTCTAAACATGGTTTGTGAGTAACATTCTTGATTCCCTATGGAAGGAGAAAAGCTATATGACGCGATACTTACTTTGTGAAGATAAAGGGATGAGGTGACCCACGTGCATGGCTTCAGAAAGGGGCCTCTGCCCGTGTAGAGATAAAACGGCTGCTTGTTTTCATAGCATTGAGAACCTGATTCATGTCTCTAAGGAACAGAGAAAAGGAAATAGTGTGATTTCAAAAATATCAAAGCACTAATGCTCATTTGGAAATAAAAAATAAAGAGAGCAAAACAACATGGATAATAACTAGAGTTTATCATATTTGGTGTTCATAATGTATAAATGATAGGAAACTTCTAGTAAAATGATTTCTCTTATGAATAATATTTTAAAAGGATAAAACATGCAGGTTTAGAATAATGTGTAACAGATGATGCAGCTTGAAGGATGTCATTTATAGTATGCAATTTGTGGAATAAGAGTATGAAAGTTTTTTATTTTTTGTTTTTTTGAGACAGAGTTTCACTCTGTTACCTGGGCTAGAGTGCCATGGGATCAGCCTAGCTCACAGCAACTTCAAACTCCTGGGCTCAAGTGATCTTCCTGTCTCAGCCTCCAGAGTAGGTGGGACTATAGGCATGTACCACCATGCCTGGCTAATTCTATTTTTAGTAGAGATGGGTCTTGCTCTTGCTCAGGCTGGTCTTGACCTCCTAAGCTCAAGGGATCCTCCTGCCTCAGCCTCCAAGAGCGCTAGGATTCCAGGTGCAAGCCACCGCGCCTGGCTGATATTATCACTTTCATCTTGTAGGTATGGAAACCCAGGCTCAGAGAAGTAGTGGGTCTTGGTCACATGGATAGGGAGCAGGATGAGAAGAGGAACAGATCTGGCTGACTCCAAAGCAGTGCTCTTGCCACCACTTTTATTCCTCTAAAGTGAGCCCAGGAACAAAGTGGCCAGAAGCCACAAAGGTACTGATTCCCTGACATCTTGGTTGTTCAGCAAACATGAACTATTCATAGTACTGTCTTGTCAGCTCTAAACATGGTTTGTGAGTAACATTCTTGATTCCCTATGGAAGGGAGAAAAGCTATATGACGCGATACTTACTTTGTGAAGATAAACGGGATGAGGTGACCCACGTGCATGGCTTCAGAAGAGGGGCCTCTGCCCGTGTAGAGATAAAACGGCTGCTTGTTTTCATAGGCATTGAGAACCTGATTCATGTCTCTATAGGAAAACAGAGAAAAGGAAATAGTGTGATTTTCAAAAAATATCAAAGCACTAATGCTCATTTGGAAATAAAAAATAAAGAAAGAGACAAAACAACATGGATAATAACTAGAGTTTATCATATTTGGTGTTCATAATGTATAAATGATAGGAAACTTCTAGTAAAATGATTTCTCTTATGAATAATAGTTTTAAAAGGATAAAACATGCAGGTTTAGAATAATGTGTAACAGATGATGCAGCTGCACAGCCACTGGGACTCTTCTGGAATTCCTCCCGACAATGCTGACACTCTGTGTGCCCTGTACACTTCCCTGGAGGGTACCAGGCCAACAACACACAATCCTGGGTGGAAGAATCCAGACAGCCCAGAGGTCTGGGTAGTAGGATCCAGATGGCATTCTAAAGTGACTTTCCTTACACCTCCCAAGCCAAGGGCCAACCAGCGCTCATCTCTGGGCTGGTAGGATTATAGGTATTCTGGTTTTTGAGTTTAGTTTTGATTTCTTTCCCATGGAATGATCACCTACTGCTTTTGAAATACTGAAAGAAAAAGACCTTAATTTTAAGAAAAGAGTACTTCTTTTGTTCTCACAACTAAGTGAATTAACTTTCATGGGCTTATAGAAAAAAATGAAGCTGTCCCACGAGATGTTTCTCATGCATTTATAGGAAGTATTGATCTGAGAACTCACTGTGTGTGAGGTCCCGGGGTGAGGTGCTCCTGACAAGCATGCAGGAATTCACTGGGGCTCCAATCTTGAGCTCATATTTTATGAGGATGGTTTCCAGGAGGAAATCATCCAGCTAGCGAGGGAGCCCAGTGACTGCCCAGCCCTTTCAGCTTGACAGTGCACAGTAGATCTCACTGAATCCCCAATTTTACAGGTGATGAAATGAGTTAGAAAGGCATTCTCAAATTTGAGAATAAGCAAAAGCCTCAAGTTTTATGCTTCTCTAAGCCAATAGGCAACAGGATTACTATGTGTAAGTAAATGAAGTCAGTTACAAGGGCAGCAAGAACCATAAAATGCTAAGGTAAAAAACTTGGATTTAGGCTGAACAGAACTGGTAAACCTTGAGCTAAAGTGACTAAGAAAAAGAGAGAGAGAAGATTCCAATTACCAGAATCAGAAATATAGGATGAGACATCACCATGGACCTCACAGGAGTAAAAAGGATTACTGTGTAAGCGAATACCACGGACAACTATAAACCAACAAATTAGATAACCTTGATAAAACAGGCAAATTCCTAGAGAGAAACAAACTACAGAAGCTAACCCAAGAAGAAATTAAAGTCTGTACAGATCTATTACAAGCAAAAAGAATGAATTAGGAATCAAAAGCTTCCCACAAAGAGAAAAGCCCAAAACCAGATGGTTTCACTGGTGAATTCTACCAAATGCTCAAAAAAGATTTAATGCCAATCCTTCACAAACTCTTCTTGAAAAATTGAAGAGAAAATACTTTCCAACTCATTCTGTGAGGCCAGTATTAACCTGATACCAAAACCAAAGACACACAACACACAAAAAACCCCTAACAAACTATAGACCAGTATCCCTTATGAACACATGAAAAAATTCTCAACAACTCACAAACCAAATCCAACAATGTATGAAAAGGATTATATTCTATCTTAAGCAACAGGAGACCCTGCCTCCTAAATAAATAAATCAAAAAGAATTATACACTATAATCAAGTGGGATTTGTCCCAGGAAAGCAAGGTTGAATCAACATATAAAAATCCAGGCTGGGTGAGGTGGGTCACGCCTGCTGCAATCCTAGCACTTAGGGAGGCCAACATGAGAGGATTGCTTCAGGTCAAGAGTTAGAGATCAGCCTCAGCAACAGCGAGACCCTGTCTCTTTTAAAAATGGGAAGAAATTAGCTGGGCAACTAAAATAGAAAAAAAAATTAGCCAGGCATGGTGGCACATGCCTGTAGTCCCAGATACTCGGGAGGCTAAGGCAATAGGATTGTTTGAGCCCAGGAGTTTGAGGTTGCTGTGACGCCACAGTACTCTAGCACGGGCAACAGAGTGAGACTCTGTCTAAGAAACAAAAAAAAACATGAAAAACAAAAACGAAGAAAGAAAACTCACAGCTAACATTATACCCAATGGTGAAAGACTGGAAGCTTTTATCTAAGATCGAGAATAAGACAAGGATGCCCGCTTTGACCACTACTAGTCAATATTGTACTCAAAGTTCTAGTCAGAGAAGTTAGGAAAGAAAAAAGTATAAATTGTAAAGGAAGAAGTAAAATTGTCCCTATTCACAGGTGACATAACCCTGTATATAAAAAATCCTATAGAATTTCACACACGAAAAAACATATCAGAGCTAATAAACACATTAGGCAAAGTTTCAGGATATGACTGACATTCAAAAATCAGTTGTATTTCTATACAGTACCAATGAACAATCCAAAAATGGAATTAAGAAAGTGTCATTTACAGAAGCATCAAAAGGATAAAATCCTTAGGAATAAATCTAACCAAAGAAGTGCAAGACTTGTACATGGAAAACTATAAAACATCACTGAAAAGTAAGTGTAAAGACTTAGTATTTTAAGATAGCAACACTCTCCAAACTAACCTACAGATTCAGTGCAATCCCTATCAAAGTCCTAGCTGGCTTTTTTCAGAAACGGAAAAGCTGATCCAGCAATTCATATGGAAATACAAGGGACCCAGAACACCTTGAAAAGAACAAAGTTGGAAGACTCACATTTTCTAACTTCAAAACTTACTATATCTTGGTGAATATTAGCTACAAAAAAAAAAAAAAAAAGAAGAAGAAAAAAAGAAAAAAAACCTTACTACAAAGGTGTAGTGACCAAGTCTGTGGTACTAGCATAAGGACAAATAGGTCAGTGGAATAGAATTTAGAGTCTAGAATTAGACTCTTAAATATGTGATCAGTTGATTTCAACAAGGATGCCAAAAAAATTCAACAGGGAAACAACAGCCTTTTCAAAAAATGGTGCAGGGACAACTGCATATCCACGTGCAAAAGAATGAAGTTGGAGCCCTACCTCACACACATACAAAAATGATCAGAGACTAAAACATAAATACTGGCCAAGCGCTGTGGCTCACGCCTGTAATCCTAGCACTCTGGGAGGCCGAGGAGGGCAGATTGCTCAAGGTCAGGAGTTCAAAACCAGCCTGAGCGAGACCCCCATCTCTACTATAAAAAAATAGAAAGAAATTAATTGGCCAATTAATATACATACATATATATATATATAAAATTAGCGGGGCATGGTGGCGCATGCCTGTAGTCCCAGCTACTGGGCAGGCTGAGGCAGGATGATTGCTTACACCCAGGAGTTTGAGATTGCTGTGAGCTAGGCTGACGCCATGGCACTCACTCTAGCCTGGGCAACAAAGCGAGACTCTGTCTCAAAAAAACCATAAATACTAAAACCACAAAACTCTTAGAAGAAGACAAAGGTGTAAATCTTCATGATCTTTGATTAGGCAGTAGTTTTGTAGCTATGACACAAAAAGCACAATCAAAGAAAAAATAAACTGGACTTCATCAAAATTAAAAACTTTTGTACTTCCAAGGACACTATCAGTAAAGTGAAAAGAATCTATATAATGGGAGCAAATATTTGCAAGTGATAATATTGATAAGAAACTAGTATCTAGAATATATAAAAAACTATTACAACTGAACAATAAAAAGGCAAATGACCCAATTAAAAAGTAGGAAAAGGATCTGAATAGACATTTCTCCAAAGAGGATATAAAAATAGCCAGGAAGCGTATGAAAAAATGCTCAACATCACTGGTTGTTAGGGAAATACAAATCAAAACCACAATGAGATACTACTTCACACCCACTAGGAAGGCTACAAAATAATAACAACAATATGGACAATAGTAAGTGTTAGTAAAGATGCAGAGAAACTGGGACCCTCATGTGCTGCTGGTGGGAATGTAAAAGCATGGAGCTGCTGTGGAAAAATTTGTCAGTTCCTCACAAAGTTAAACAGAATTACCATATGAGCCTTTAATTCTGCTCTCAGGCATACACCCAAGAGACATGAAAAACGTATGTTTACTCAAAAACTTGTACACAAATGTTCACGACAGCATTATTGATAACTAAAAAGTAAAAATAACCCAAATGTCCACTCTCTAATGAATAGATAAACAAAATGTGGGCTATATCTATTCAATAGAATATTATTTAGGAATAAAAAGGAATGAAGAGGGCCAGGCAGGTTGGCGAAACACCTGTAATCCTACACTCTGGGAGGCTGAGGTGGGAGGATAGCTTCAGGCCAGGAGTTAGAGACCAGCCTAAGCAAGAGCAAGACCTCACCTCTACCTCTACAAAAAATTAGGCAGGCATGGTGGTACGGGTTTATAGTCCCAGCTACTCAGCAGGCTGGGGCAGGAGGATCGCTTGAGCCTAGGAGTTTGAGGTTGTAGTGAGCTATGATGATGGCACTACACTCTAGCCTGAGTGGCAGAGCAAGACTCTGTCCCCAAAAAGCAAAAAAAAAAAAGGAATAAGCACTGACACATGCTACAAAATGTAGGAGTCCTGAAAATAATATGCTAAGTAAAAGAAGCCAGATAAAAGGCCAAATGTTATCTGAGCCCATTTATCTGAAATGCCCAAATCTACAGAGAAAGAAAGCAGATTAGTGGTTGCCAGTGGCTAGTGGGAGGGAGAAATGGGGAATGCCTGCTAATGGGTAGGGGTTTCTTTCTGGGATGATCAAAATGCTGTGGAATCAGATAGTGTGATGGTTGCCCAACCTTGTGAATACTCTAAAACCCACTGAATCATACATTTTATTTATTTATTTTTGAGACAGAGTCTTACTCTGTTGCCCAGGTAGAGTGCCGTGGCATCAGCCTAGCTCACAGCAACCTCAAACTCCTGGGCTCAAGCAATCCTTCTGCCTCTGCCTCCTGAGTAGCTGGTACTACAGGCATGCACCATCATGCCCAACTAAGTTTTTATATATATATATATTTTTTTTTAGTTGGCCAATTAATTTGTTTCAATTTTTTTGTTTTTCTTTTTTAGTAGAGGGTCTCACTCTTGCTCAGGCTGGTTTTGAACTCCTGACCTTGAGCGATCTGCCCACCTTGGCCTCCGAGAGTGCTAGGATTACAGGCGTGAGACACTACCCCTGGCCTGAATCATACACTTTAAAAAGGTGAGTTTTATGATATGCGAATTAAATCTCAAATTAAGAAAAAATTTTGATTATATTCTGCCTAGAAAGTGGGCTCAGCAGGGCCTGGAATTCTTTGTAAGGAGAATTGGAAGACTGCTGAGTTCTGTCCTGGGGGTGCTCTCTAGTAACCATGAAGTGCCAGCAGAACAGTACAACCTACCCCGGATCATAAATTCCATAGACACAGCTTTGAAAATGGGCCTGCCCCAACCCAAGTAATCTGGAGGGTGGGAGAGGTAGAAATCCTTTTCGAACCTTCCCATTTCTTGATGTTATCTGCTTGGAATTTACGGTCGAAGTGGGGCTACTTTGTTCCATGTACCCTCTCTGTTAGTTTTGTTTTTGATATTGTTTATGAGTAGGCTAGGACAATAAAAGGAAGAGGGTATGTAATTTCAGGAAGCTTACTATTCATTTCGTGGGAAATGCTAAACTTGGACATGTTACTCTCTTTTGTTTTCATGACATTTTATAATTTGCAACATGAATTCTGGCATGAATCTCATCTGCTAAGAACTTGACCCCTACCTAGTGAGGTGGGCCATTTACAGATGAATAAACTAAGGGCTTGAGGGTGAACAGACAAGCAGGATACCACAGTGAGTTACCGACAGGACACAAGGTGATCCCGGTCTTCCTACAAGTGGCTGCTGCTTTCCCCACAGTTCCAGGCAGCTTAAGAGAAGAGCTGCCTCCTGATTTTTGGAACTAAAAGAGGAGGACGGACGAGAAGGCCTGTGGTGAAGGGCCCTGACCTGTGTGAAAAGAAGATGCCCCTGCGCAGGAAGCGGTGTGGTCTCTGGCCAGTGGCTCGCTCTATTCGGTTTATCAGCTCTTTATCAATTTTACTGCTTCCAAATCGAACTGGAAAAAAAATTGGAAAAAATAAGGGATGACTTTTTTAGGTGGAAGAAGGTTTAGTGACCAGATATTACTGAAATAAAGGGGAAAAATGAGTGTTCCATGCACAATCTTAATGAATCCAACCTCTTTAGGTGTTCTGCTATAGATCCTTTCCCCCAACACAAAGTAAAAGGTCGTTTGTATTAAATGACAGCTGAGATCACAACCAGCAAAACAGGAACTAAATTACAGAACAAACTGCTGTTTTAGCCTGAGATTGGATTCTGATGGGAAACATACCCAGAATGCAGGCTAGCTATCAACTTTTGACAACCATATATACAAAAACAGGCCGGGCACAGTGGCTCACGCCTGTAATCCTAACACTCTGGGAGGCTGAGGTGGGCAGATCACTCGAGGTCAGGAGTGCAAAACCAGCCTGAGCAAGAGCGAGACCCTGTCTCTACTATAAAGAAAAATAATTGGCCAACATGTATAAGAGAAAAAATTAGTCGGGCACGGTGGCGCATGCCTGTAGTCCCCAGCTCTCGGAGAGGCTGAGGCAGCAGGATCTTGAGCCCAGGAGTTTGAGGTTGCTGTGAGCTAGGCGAGATGCCACGGCACTCACTCTAGCCTGGGCAACAAAGCGAGATCTGTCTCAAAAAAAAAAAAAAAAAAAAAAAAAAAAAATATATATAATATATATAAAATATATATACGCATACACATCCAAAAAACATACATACATATATATATATTTTAAGGTAAAATTTATATCCACTGACAACCATGATTTCTCACATTTTCTAGCCCAGGCAACAGAGACTCTGTCTCAAAAACAAAACAAAACAAAAGAGTCTTGTTCTGTCCCCCCGGGCTAGCTAGAATGCCCTGGCCTCAGCTTAGCTCACTGCAACCTCAAATGCCTGGGCTCAAGCAATCCTCACACCTCAGCCTCCCAAAGTGCCAGGATTACAGGCATAAGCCACCACGCCCTGCCCATTTCTCTCATATTTATTGAATTCAATGTTTGTCCTCAAGTGAATTTTCCCTCATGATAGTCTATACTCAAATCATGAAAAATAGCTTTGGCTTAGATAAACATTTTAGTTCTGTTTCTTCCTTGACAATTAGCAATGATCTCAATCTAATGGCAATGGTATTTCCTGAGCAGGAAGACTCTCTAGGAAGGGCTTGACAATGAGGACTTGCCACTTGTGATAAGTCACCCTTCTTAAGCTGACCTCCAGGCTTCTGACTCTATAATCGACATCACTGGAGGCAAAACTCAGTAATCTATGATTGACTTGTAACCACTAAATGACTGCAAAGATGCCCATTTCAGTAGCCTTTCCTAAGTTCTTAATTGCTTAAAAAAGGGGAAAAAGCTTCTACTAAGCTGTCTATTATAGATCACTGTTTTGAAATAAGTTTCATATTGTTACTTTATTTTGAAATAATTCTTTGGGAATATAATGCACAAACAAAAGATTTTAGGATCTATTTTTTTCTTGGCGTTGAAACCTCACTGTATTTATGATTGATTCAAAATTTAAAAACATCAATAGAATCACTTCTAAAGGTTGAGGGTTTTTCTGGAGAAGAGAGCTGAGGACATACCAATGAGCTTGTCGTAATCAATGCCCTTTGCGCTGCTTGTCTGTACCGTCCACGGGTCCACAAAATCCTCTTCGGCTTCGGTGGCATCTGAGCCACAGTTACTCTCAGACGCCGTATTCCTAGGAGGGCAGTCAGCCTTATAATCCTCCCCCATGGCGTCTTTGTAGCTCATTTTTAAGAACAGCAACATCTTCACTGCAGAATCAATTTCATCCTGCACAAAGGATATAAAGGTGAAGGCTATAGTAACAATAGCTAACATCTGCTGAGTGCCTATTGTGTGGCAGGCATTGTGCTAAATGCTCTCACACATGTCACCTTGTTTAGTCTCCCAACAACCCAGTGAGGCAGCAGGCATCATTGTCACTACCTGTCCTTTCCTAGCTGAAAAATTTGAGACTCAGAGAGGTGAAAGAGCTTACCTACAGAAATCAAAGAAATCATGGGTTTGAAAGTATTTCATTTACACCTGTTATTTTAGTGCTGTGGATTACTACCATGAACACTTTGGAACAGTAATAGTGATACGATATTCACTGTCATTTATGATAAGGTTAAATATGCTAAATATTTCTCAAACATCACTGATGCCAGAGAACAAGCCTGACAAACTCCTTTAATCGAGTATACTGAGTTCTGCATTGAACTAGTTTTTACATTCCATGCAGGTTGAGATGAGCATTTATTGAAACTTAACCAATGATGCCACCAAGGACAGTAACAGCAACTCAAACAGATAAAAGCAAGGGAAAAAATGTAAGCTGCCAGGTTATAAATTAAGGAGAGATTCATTAGAAAATAGTTACACCACCACCACATTTTAGGAATCTTATCAAGCTATCTGAAGTGTTTGTATATTTATTATTTTAAAATAAGGCCGGGCGCTGTGGCTCACGCCTGTAATCCTAGCTCTTGGGAGGCCGAGGCGGGCGGATTGCTCAAGGTCAGGAGTTCAAAACCAGCCTGAGCAAGAGCGAGACCCCGTCTCTACTATAAATAGAAAGAAATTAATTGGCCAACTGATATATATATATATAAAAAATTAGCCGGGCATGGTGGCGCATGCCTGTAGTCCCAGCTACCCGGGAGGCTGAGGCAGAAGGATCACTCGAGCCCAGGAGTTTGAGGTTGCTGTGAGCTAGGCTGACGCCACGGCACTCACTCTAGCCTGGGCAACAAAGTGAGACTCTGTCTCAAAAAAAAAAAAATAAAAAAAAAAAAATAAAATAAAATAAACATAAAGGCCGGGAGGGGTGGCTCACGCCTGTAATCCTAGCACTCTGGGAGGCTGAGGTGGGCGGATTGCTCGAGGTCAGGAGTTCAAAACCAGCCTGAGCAAAAGCGAGATTCCGTCACTACTATAAATAGAAACAAATTAATTGGCCAACTAAGATATATAGAAAAAATCAGCCGGGCATGGTGGTGCATGCCTGTAGTCCCAGCTACTTGGGAGGCGGAGGCAGCAGGATCGCTTAAGTCCAAGAGGTTAAGGTTGCTGAGAGCTAGGCTGACGCCACGGCACTCACTCCAGCCTGGGCAACAAAGCAAGACTCTGTCTCAATAAATAAATAAATAAATAAATAAATAAAATAAAATAAAATAAAATAAAATAAAATAAAATAAAATAAAATAAAATAAAATAAAAATAAATCCTAGCACTCTGGGAGGCCAAGGAGCGTGGATTGTTTGAGCTCAGGAGTTCAAGACCAGCCTGAGCAAGAACGAGACCCTGTCTGTACTAAAAACAGAAAGAAATGAATTGGACAATTAAAAATATATAGAAAAATCAGTCCCAGTTTCCCAGTTACTCGGGAGGCTGAGGCAGGAGGATCTCTTGAGCCCAGGAGTTTGAGGTTTCTGTGAGCTAGGCTGACGCCACAGCACTCTAGCTAGGGCAACAAGAGTGAGACTCTTCCACAGACCCATTTAATTTTGTTAGAGTAAAAAAAAAAAAAAAAAGAGTGAGACTCTATCTCAAAGAATAAAATAAAATAAAATAAACATAAAAGGCAGGGTGTGGTGGTTCATGCCTGTAATCCTAGCACTCTGGGAGGCTGAGGTGGGAGGATCGTTTGAGCTCAGGAGTTCGAAATCAGCCTGGGCAAGAGTGAGACCCCATCTCTACTAAAAAAAATATAGAAAGAAATTAGCTGGACAACTAAGAATATATATAGAAAAAATTAGCCGGGCATGGTGGTGTATGCCTGTAGTCCCAGCTACTCGGGAGACCAAGGCAGTAGGATTGCTTGAGCCCAGGAGTTTAAGGTTACTGTGAGCTAGGCTGATGCCACAGCACTCTACCCTGGGCAACAGAGTGAGACTGTCTCAAAATAAATAAATAAATAAACATTAAAAAAAAAAATGTAAAATGGGTACTGACAGCCTAAAGCTATGGTGTTCAAATAATTGTATTGTTCAACAGGGATCTGAGGAGGGGAGACCCACATCTTAAGGATATGATGAGCACTGTAGTGGGGAAAGGATTACCACTATCCCTTTTTAGAGAGAGGCAAAGAAACACACTGTAACCAAAATGTCTAAAAAAAAAAAAAATTTGTTAATGGGAGGTGAACAGGTGGAAGGGGTGAGAAGGGGAAGGGTACCCACTTTCATGGTGGGTGCAGGGCGCACCACCTGAAGACTGGACACGCTTGAAGCTCTGGCAAAGCGGGGTGAGGAGGGGGGCAGGGGCAAGATATGTAACCCTAACAATATTTGTATTGTATTGTAACCCTAACAATATTTGTACCCACAGAATTTGGGAAAAAATTTAAAAAAATGTAAAATGTATCCTTGGGTACTTTGGAACTCTATTAAAGACCTTCTCTTCCAGGAGCCCACAGTGGCCATCCCTGGAGGCCTGGTATTTAAAAAAGCAGGCCTAATTAAACCGATTAGTCATGCTATGCCCTAAATCTCTACTCTGGTAATTGGCTTTGCTGGATTGAATCACAAAGAATATACACAGTCCAATTTGCTTGCCAAGGGAAATACAAACATTTCCACTCAGAGTGTACGATACAGAATGTGCTATAAACTGGGCTTCCTAGTGGAGAACCACAACATCAAGTTCCATTCAGAGAGAACTGTTCCATCAGGTATAGCACCTGGGCCAGAGGACTGTTATTCTGGGGTAATCTGTGTTTTAAACTATAAAATTACCTGGAATTCATCATGAAAATGAGTCAGATTTGTGCAATCCATAACCCAATGGATACAACTCATATAAGAGAGATGTTTGCCCAGGTTAGATAGGTAAGTATGTTTTACTAATTTAATTTCTGCAGTGCAAAGGCTCAGCATCTGCAAAAAGTAAATGTTTAGTAAGTAAATTCTATAGAATTAAATACAGGAAGACTTACCTTGCTTTGAAGTACACTGCAATAGATATTCTTTAATCACTAGCTGTGTTGACATTTCATACTCTATTTAGTCTAATTCTGCTTGTAACTAGGAGGCTTATGGAAAGTCAAACATTTAACCAATGTCCCTGCTCAAGAACCATCTGCAATCTGCAATGGGACTGAAATAGACAAGCAAGCTCTCCCTATCTATATTTTTTTATTCTCAATCTAACATGGACCAGGACACTGAAACAGAATTTAAAAGGTGATGTTCTCTGTAATCCTAGCACTTTGGGAGGCAGAGGTGGGCGGACTGCTCGAGGTCAGGAGTTCAAAACCAGCCTGAGCAAGAGCCAGACCCGTCTCTACTATAAATAGAAACAAATTAATTGGCCAACTAATATATATAGAAAAAATTAGCCAGGCATGGTGGTGTATGCCTGTAGTCCCAGCTACTTGGGAGGCTGAGGCAGAAGGATTGCCTGAGTCCAGGAGTTTGAGGTTGCTGTGAGCTAGGCTGACGCCACGGCACTCACTGTAGCCTGGGCAACAAATCGAGACTCTGTCTCAAAAAATAAAATAAAATAAAATAAAAGCTGATGTTCTGAAAAAAGCCAGACACAAAAGACTACGTACTATGTGATTCTGTAAAGTCCTGACGCGGGCAGAGCTGTCCATGGTGGCAGGAGTTTGGGGGTGCTCTCAGGGTGTAAGGGTGGCTTCCAGACACTGCTATGCTGGCTCTAGATTTGGGAGCTGGTTACACAGGCACAGTCATTCTGTGAAACTTCAGGGAGCTGCCTAAGATTGCCATATTTCTCTGTATGAATGGTATATTTCAATTTTTTTTTTTTTTTTGAGACAAGGTCTTGCCCAGGCTAGAGTGCAGTGGCATCATAGCTCAACACAACCTAAAACTCCAGGGCTCCAGCAATCTTCCTGAGGAGCTGGGACTACAGGCATATGCCACCATGTCTGGTTAATTTTTCCTTTTTTTTTGAGAGACAGAGTCTTGCTCCTGCTCAGGCTGGTCTTGAACTCCTGGTCTCAAGAAATTCTCCCGCCTCAACTTCCCAAAATGCTGAACTACATGTGTGAGTTGCAGTGTCTGGCCTCGATTTTTAAAGTTTACTTAAACTAAAAGGAAAAGGAAAAAAAAAGGGCTCTTCTCTTGCTCCTAACCCCAAAGATCCAGCATTATTTCTTTAGTCCTGTTCAAACTATCTCCCCTCACAGACCCCAGATTCTGTCCTATCTCCCAGGGAGACTCCCTTCTTTACCAAGCTGTTGTTAGTGGAAGACAGGGTCTTATTCTTTAGATATTCTGGAGCGGAAAAGAACTTGAAGGGCCATGGCCTAGATAAATGGCAGGAGAAGATGGAGAAAGCACTGACAGTACCATTCAGGGCTTGGGTGCCTCCAATGTGGCCCAACCATTTAGCTAAAAGTTAATTTCTGAAACATCAAGTGCTTCTGTTACCAACACATTTCAGGGTCAGACACAGATTTACTTCTGAATTTTTCATCATTTAACTCTGGTCTCATTGTGTAACCTCTGATCTCTCTAGTATATGCCCGCCATATGCGTTAGTCAAAGAATTCACTTGGAAGAGTTATTATAAACTGTATTAAGTATTGCTCATTGACTAAAATATAAATAATGAACATAACTATAGTTGCTAAGAAATAATAACTAAAATTGTTACTAAATATTATTCAAATTTTATGTTATCACTGTCAACTTCCCCAAATGGGCTTATAGAGTGAACAAGCTCATTGGGTCCTTTATTTATCTAAAATTTTTGTATTAAAGCAACTTAGCCCAATCTACCCTACCTGAGTAGGGTAGATTGGGCTACCAACTGAGCCCTGGTAGGGCTCAATCTACCAACTGAGCCCTACCTGGTAAGTAAACCTTTTTCTGTGAATTCCCAAATTCTTTTTTTTTTTTTTTGAGACAGAGTCTTGCTCTGTTGCCTGGGCTAGAGTGCCGTGGCATCAACCTAGCTCACAGCAACCTCAAACTCCTGGGCTCAAGCCATCCTACAGCCTCAGCCTCTGAGGAGCTGGGACTACAGGCATGTGCCACCATGACCGGCCCCAATTTCTTTTTGACATCACTTTCTTTCAGTACTATTTATTTCCTTTAAATTATAATGGTTTACTTGGGGTCCAAATAGTCAAAGCAAACTTTTGTGAGATGGCTGACACCATTTGGTGACAAGCAAGAAAGAGATGTTTGAAAAGAAGATGCAGGAGTTGACAGTGATGTAAAAGGAAGTCACGGAGATGAAGCTGGGGAACTTAGAAGTGGAGGTGCCCCAGAAAGAAATGAGGCACCTATGCTTCAGTTAAGGATATAGACTAACCATGGTACTTCTGAAACCTACATAGAGCTTTTAAAAAGGTATAATCCCATGAGCACAAAGGAAACAGGAAAAAAGATGACAGCAACAAGGTTTCAGAAGCTGGAAAGCTGATGGATGACTGGTGTCTCATTGAGCATGAGAGAAAAACAAATGCCAAGACACTGTGGGCAGTGACTGCGCTTACACTGCTATGGAATTCCCCAGTGGCTCAGGTACTAGTGGCCTTGGGTACTTGCAGGAGTGGTGGTAAAAGGGTTTATAAAAACAGGAGCACTGGTTGAAAGTCTGTTCCAAGAAGCAGTTATTCAGATTCCTTTCTCCCCCTCTCCTTCCTCGACTGAGAGGTTTTGTGTTGAAGGAGGACAGAGTTACAAGTGCCTAGACTGGGGACACTAGGCATGGTGGGGGTGGGGGCGGGGGCAGCACACAGAACAGAGCTCCAGAGAAGGATCAAACAGCCCAGCACTTCTCTCCCGCTCAGCTGTGGAGTGAGGGCAGCTAGACTTCCACCCTTTTGAGAGCAAACTGGAGGAGCTTTCTCTGGGGAATCTGCCTCACTTCAAAGGAAAGATCTAAAGACCCTGACACCAAAGATTTCCCAACAAAAGGGAGAAGACTCCAGAAAGTGGAACCTTATAAGCTACTCCCAAATGCCCGGCACATTCAAAAGCTCTCAGTGCTCCCTCTAAAATGCAAGTGGATAGATGTGAAGCCGCAAACATTTGAGGATTGCCTCTAATATGAAAGTCAGATGGGAAAAAAATTAATTTGGAGAAAACTGAGATTATAAAGGGGCAGAAAACATCAGGAAGACTACCATCAAGATATCAGAGATAGGCCGGGCGTGGTGGCTCACGCCTGTAATCCTAGCTCTCTGGGAGGCCGAGGTGGGCGGATTGCTCAAGGTCAGGAGTTCAAAACCAGCCTGAGCAAGAGCGAGACCCCGTCTCTACTATAAGAAAGAAATTAATTGGCCAACTGATATGTATATAAAAAATTAGCCGGGCATGGTGGCGCATGCCTGTAGTCCCAGCTACTCGGGAGGCTGAGGCAGAAGGATCGCTCGAGCCCAGGAGTTTGAGGTTGCTGTGAGCTAGCCTGACGCCACGGCACTCACTGTAGCCTGGACAACAAAGCGAGACTCTGTCTCAAAAAAAAAAAAAAAAAAAAGATATCAGAGATAGACCGTGCACAGTGGCTCATACCTGTAATCCTAGCACTCTGGAAGGCCAAGGTGGGTGGATAGTTTGAGCTCAGGAGTTTGTGATCAGCCTGAGTAAGAGCGAGACCCCATCTTACTAAAAATAGAAAGAAATAAATTGGCCAACTAAAAATATATATAAAAAATTAGCCGGGCATGGTGGCGCATGCCTGTAGTCCCAGCTACTCGGGAGGCTGAGGCAGAAGGATTGCTTGAGCCCAGGAGTTTGAGGTTGCTGTGAGCTAGGCTGACGCCATGGCACTCTAGCCCAGGTAACAGAGTGAGACTCTGTCTCAAAAAAAAAAGATATCAGAGATAAAGGGATGACAGGTACCCATGAAATCAGAGCAGGATGCTATAAGGAACATTCAGACAGCAAACAAGCTCTTGGGGGTTAAGCATGATAGTAGAAATGAAAAACACCAGGAGTTTTACAAGTTGAGGAAATATGGCCAAAAGAAGAACAGCAACAAAAAGAAATGGAGGTCGGGCATGGTGGCTCACGCCTGTAATCCTAGCACTTTGGGAGGCTGAGGCGGGCGGATTGCTCAAGGTCAGGAGTTCGAAACCAGCCTGAGCGAGACCCCGTCTCTACCAAAAATAGAAATAAATTAATTGACCAACTAAAAATATATATACAAAAAAATTAGCCGGGCATGGTGGCGCATGCCTGTAGTCCCAGCTACTCGGAAGGCTGAGGCAGTAGGATCGCTGAGCCCCGGAGATTGAGGTTGCTGTGAGCCAGGCTGACGCCACGGCACTCACTCTAGCCTGGGCAACAAAGTGAGACTCTGTCTCAAAAAAAAAAAAAAGAAATGGAAAGTAAAAGTCACAAAATAAGAAAATCAGAGGAATAGTCTTAGAATAAAAAAAGCCTATATTTTTTCAATCTTGAAAATCTAAAAAAAAAAAAAAAAAAAAAAGCCTATAAGGAGAGAAGAAAGGGAACAGAAGAGATCAAATAAATAATATGATTCTGAGAATTAAAGGTCAAGAGTTTCCAGTCTGAAAGGAGCTGTGAGCCCCTATCCTAAGAAATTTCAGAACACTGGAACAAAGTGAAGATCCTACCAACTTCCACAGAGAAAAACAAAGGAATGGCATCTGACTTCTTGGCAGTGACCCTGGAAGTGAGGTAACGATGGAGCAATGGCTTTAGAATTCCGAGGGAAAATCACTTCCATGCTAGAACTCTATACCCAGCCTAATTATAATCAAGTTTTAGATAAAATAAATATACTTTCAGATGAGCAAGATCTCACAAAAAATATTTCCTTTCTACCAATGGTTTTTTTTCAGAAACCATTGGAAGATTTGCTCTGCCAAAATAGAGTAAAGCAAGGCAGGACCAGGAGACAGGGGACCCCACAGATGGAGGTGAAGGGAACCTCTGGGTCAACAGTGAAAGAAGACCCCAAGATGGGCAGTGTGGAAGGCAAGTGCCACCAGTCCGGAGGAAGCAGGTAGAAGTTCCTGGGAGAGACGATCTGAAGGAAGAACATGAATTTGATAGACTAGCTGATGTCTGAGAGGAGTGGCTGAGAGGAGATTCAGCCAACTCAGACAGAGCCTGAAGGTACATTATCTTTAGTACCTAAAAAAGCCAAGCAAACAGAAATTAAGGCAAGTATTAACTCCAGAGAAAACAAGAGTTGGACAGGAAAGGAAAAGTACTCATCTCATACTTGATGGTACAGCTGTCTAAAGTGTTTACATGGTCATAAATCAGGTGAATACTGACCTAAGTTCAGTTATATACTGGGAGACTGGAGGGATGGGAAAATGCATTTGTGAAAATGTGAATTCCTCTTTTCCACGTGAAAGCCTCAAACTTGAAAATCAACAAGGAGAAACGGAACAAGCAGGATAGTTAGAGATATGGGGTGTAAATACCCAAAGAATCAGTTAAAATAATTAAAAATATTTGTGTCAGGGAGCAGGAAATGGGTAGAGGCGGCTTGGAGGGCTGCCATATTTCACAAAGGCTTTGAGAACCACTGATTCTTTACATCACAGGCATCATGATGTTGATAAAGAGAAAAATACACTGGCTCTTGGATGCAGATTATACATTAAAGAAAAAAAAGTTTGAGAAACACCAACCAAAAAAAAAAAAAGAGAGAGAAAAATACATTCATTTACATTTATGACAAAAACACCTCAGTCATCGAAGGAATAGGACCCTGGGAACAGGCACAGTAACACAACCCCACAGATCCGAAGGCTCAGCTGCATGTATGAAGGACCCAATAAAATCACGTACCTTTGGTGCCTTCCCGGCTTTGAGGGAACGCACGAGCTCCCCTTGAGTAGCTATGCTGTTGAACAGCTCCAGCGGAGAGGCACAGGGCTCACCGTTGGGCACGTCCGCCATCTTTTAGGACCAGGTTCACAACTGGCTAGGGTGTCAGAGGATTTGTCCAGCAGTTGAGACAAGAATGGGGAAAAAAAGAAAGGAAAAAGAGAGATTAACAATCCACTGCAGCTGTCCTAGTCCTTTCTGAAAAGGTTGTGAGGGAAGTTACAATAAAGTATATAGATAATATAACATTAATACAAATATAAAGAGAAATTTGGGGCAATGAAAAAGAGAAGAGGAAGAACAAATGCCAATGAGGAGGACTAAAGGAGTTGCTATGATTTACTGACTTGAAGTCTGCAGAGGATGATCCCTCCTAGCCAGGACCAAGTTTGTGTCTGGTGGTGCCTCCTGTTCCTCACCCCATGCCCAGAAGATAGGAAGGTCTTGGGTTTGCTCATGGAATAAATATCAGTGTGCTTTAATAACCCTAAGTTCACTAGAGCCAAAAACATTCGATAAATTGCTATTTGCTCTTTATCTTAATTGCCTTATGGATAAACTCTCAAGCTTTTGCAGCCATAACCAAAATAACACTGAACAAATGGATTCCACTGCTGGCCAGCTGCTCTGTTCTCAGACAAAGTAAGCACTGGGGTGGGGACAGGCCATTATCTGTTCTGAATTCCAAATAGGGTCAGGACTATCTACAGACTGTCCATGCCACATGCTGCCTTATTTAACTGCAAACCTTTTAAGTAGGTGTGCCTATAGCCTCTATTAGTCACTATTTACTATTAACCTTGTAAAAGGTGGGGCAGAGGGCAGGCAAAAACTAGGTCACTATCAGCCCCCTTTTGAGTCAGTTACTTCTCCTTTCTGTGTATTAGTTTCCTCACCCATAAAATGGTGCCAGGAACCTCTTCACCTACCTCAAGGGCTATTATGAGAACAAAATGAAAAAAACAACATGGCAGCACTTTGTAAACTGCAAAGCAAGATGAAAATACATTATGAGTACTGTTATTAAATTAATTTTCTTCAAAACGTGGCTGAACTTTAGCTTCGCCTTAACTTGTTGCAATACCTTGGAGGAGGAAGACGATGAGGAGGCTAATGCCAGCACTGCTAAATTTGAACACATCTACACCTGGTATTGTTCTAAGCACCTCATACACATCAATCTGCTTAAGCCTTACAGCAATCCTATGAGAAAGACTTGTTATCTCCATTTCACAGATGAAGCAGGGTGGTTAAAAAACTTGTCGGAGATAGCACAGCCAGTAAGTGGCTATGATATAAACTCAGGTAGTCTGACCCCAAAGCCTACACTTTCAACCATTATCCTACAAATGACTTAACTCTATGAACCAAACACACACATCTGTGGTGTAATTTATTTGTATTTATCCACTTCTTAAATATTTGCTTAAGGCCAGGTGTGGTGGCTCAATCTTATCAAGCTATCTGAAGTGTTTGTATATTTATTGTTTTAAAATAAACATAAAAGGCTGGGCATGGTGGCTCATGCCTATAATCCTAGCACTCTGGGAGCCCGAGGGGGCTACACTGCTCAAGGTCAGAAGTTTGAAACCAGCCTGAGCAAGAGTGAGACCCCTGTCTCTACTAAAAATAGAAAAGAAATTAATTGGCCAACTAAAAATATATAGAAAAAATTAGCCAGGCATGGTGGCGCATGCCTGTAGTCCCAGCTTCTCGAGAGGCTGAGGCAGAAGGATTGCTTGAGCCCAGGAGTTTGAGGTTGCTATGAGCTAGGCTGACGCCATGGCCCTCTACCCTGGGCAACAGAGTGAGACTCTGTCTCAAAAAAAAAAAAAGTAAATTTTAACTCAATCAATCTTTATATGACTCAATGAAACTATAATACTGAAACTAGGATGGGTCAGCAGCCAGTTTCTTTCTCCTCTTTGATGAGAATCACCCTAAGTCTCAGAAAGGGAAGTTTGGTGAGATTACTTACTCAGATAACAAAGCATCCAGTTTAGGGAGGCCCATAAGAAAGAGAAGGAAGGTAGAATACCTTCTGTCTAGTGCTAGGAAACAGAAACACTCAGGCTCCCCATCCCCTTCCCAGCAACAAGCCGACCAAATTAGCAATTACCCATTTCTCTCCTGGGGGTTTTTGCCAGTATCAAATAACAATCAAAGTAATGAGAATTACTTCTAACCACAAATGATCAAACATCATGTCCAGATACTTTACACATTATCCCAGATTCTCCCAAAACTGGGTGTGACTGTATGCTTTAACAGACAAGAGGCTGGTGGCTCAGGGGCATGAGAACAACCCTCTGAAGTTCCATTGCCAGAGAGTAGCTAAGCTAGGATCTGATGCCAAAGCCCTCTCGATCATGTGCTCTCAGAATTCCAGCTGTTCCCCTGCCAGAAATGTTCTACACCCTCCTCTGCTGGACACTGCTGAATATTTCCAATTTAAACCTCAGTTATTCTTCACAGCTTCTCCTGAACTCTGTGCCTGAGGCCAAGTTGGTGGCTCCACCCTCTATGATCCCAAGCACTCCTTTAGCAACTTTACACTACATTTTAGTTATTCATGTCTTCTCCAGTGGATAGTGAAAGCAACACTAGGTTTATTCTTACATGTACTGCTAGTACCTGGTACACAGTTGGCTTACCAATTAAACATTTACTAACTGAAGAATCTTGTTAAGTCATCGAGTTCAACCTTTTCCTCTAAGGTTTGTGCCCTCTTATAATATCTTTATAAGTGGTTGTTCCAGTTGAAGGTTGATTCTCTAATCTGGACTTTCGAGAGCCTCTTGTTTAACGTCCTGATATTGAGCTGAGCCTTTTGAGATTTGCGGAGAAGCAGGCTGGTCTCCTGGGGTCTTCTCCAGGTTGCACATCCCTAGTCTGGTTTCTTCACTCACTGCTAACCTCTGCCTACCAGGATATACTAATTCTTTTTTTTTTTTGTTCCAATCCTCCAGGAGCATGGACAGGATATACTAATTCTGTGATTTGGAGAAGGGTGGCATCAAAATAGCCAATTCTGGCCAGGCGCGGTGGCTCACCTGTAATCCTAGCACTCTGGGAGGCCAAGGCGGGAGGATTCCTCAAGGTCAGGAGTTCGAGACCAGCCTGAGCAAGAGCAAGACACTGTCTCTACTAAAAACAGAAAGAAATTAGCCGCACAATTAAAAATATATATAGAAAAAATTAGCCGGGCATGGTGGCATATGCCTGTAGTCCCAGCTACTCAGGAGGCTGATGAGAAACATTGCTTGAGCCCAGGAGTTTGAGGTTGCTGTGAACTAGGCTGATGCCATGGCACTCTAGCCCAGGCAACAGAGCCAGACTCTGTCTCAAAAAAACAAAACAAAAATAATAATAATAGCCAATTCTGGAGTAGCCAGGAAGAGCAGATGCCCCAGAAGTTTCTGGATGCTTGGAATACCACCCTTCACATCTTGGCCCCAGAGTGTAGGTGACAATGACTTTGGGCTGGCAAGTTCCCAGAGGACAAGAAAATGACTTCATTAGAGCAAAGAGTTCCTTACACCCCAAACTTTGGAACAGATTATGTTCAACTTTTTTTTAAACACTAAGAGGAGAGATGAGTTTCCCCTTCAGAGACTAAAATGAACATTATCTTAAAAGGCAAAGAAGACATTAATTTATATGAAGCATTACATAATTTTGGGTATTACAATAAGAATGCTAATATGTTCAGATGTTGACTAATGAAGGGGCTGCATCATTGAAAAATATGACAGCCAACATGAAGATGCTGAAAGAGAAGCTATGAATCCAAGCAGGCAAATGCTCATCCAGTATCTATTTTCCCCATGGAAGCAGTGAATCACTTCAACTTTGGATTACTGGAGCGGGATGAAATAAAATGAACAATACTCTAATCCTAAGAGAGAGATAACTCATTACCCCCTTAACCAAGGTTTCCAGCACTTTGGTATAATAAGGCTGGTAAAAAACACTAACAAACTCCAAGCCTGGCGAGGATGGCAATACATACCTAGGTTGTGGGAGACACTGCAGAGGTGGCCACTAGTCACACTGGGCAGTCGAGCAGCAATGAATAAATACCCTGCCCAAGTGCTCTTTAATACTCTTTCCCTCTTTCTTTCAGTTTCCTTTTTAAAACAGGATCTTCTCTTTCTTGTATACCTCACCCTTCAGCTACATGCACATAAGTTTCCTAGAAATCACCCAGATTCCCAGAAACATTAGAGCCTCTAGACCAACTTTCTTGATGAGACTGTCCAATCAGGGGAAGGTTGGCTGGGGGGGCCGGGTTAAGAACAATGAAACCCTCTAGAGAACCAAGCCATTAGCTGGTCATTGCATCAGCCACCCCTTACCCCTTATACGGCTGGCCTCCATATAACCTCCCCGCCCTCTTCCTGTTCCCCACCCTCAGTGTCAGTGTAATTGTGTTTATGTGTAGTAGTGGGCGGCAGAAAGGGCGAACTGCAAATTCCCTGCAGCTATTCACCGAGGCCGCGCAGTGCAGTGCAGTGCACAGATCATGAGTTCTAGGGGCAGAGAGACTTGGATTTCAATTCCAATTTGGGCATTTTCTTGCTTCGAAACTTGGGCAAGTCACATTAATTCTCTGCTCCTCCCTCAGTTTCCTCATCTATGAAATGGGCATAAAGAAGCCTCCTAACATTGGGATTGAGGAGACCAAGTGTGATACTACAGGCAAAGCCTCCGGTACATGGCAGGCACTAAATACAAATGGGGGGCCTCTCTCCTTGGGAAACGGGAAGAGGTGGGGACGGTGAAGGGCCCGTGACAGCGGGAGGGGGCGACAGGGCGGGTCGGCGGCGCTCGGAGCAGAGAGGCTAGGGGGTCCGTGGCAGCCCCCGCGCCCCTCGCGGTGCCAGAACGCGGCGGGCAGCGAGCCGGGCTCCGAAGAGGACACTCCGGCAGGGGGCCTGCGGAAGGCCCAGTCACCGGGCGCCGCCCCTGCGTCCCTCCACCACTCCCTCTCTCATCCCCTCGCTTCATCGCCCCGGGCCTCCCTCCCCTCACTTACCAGGCCCTGCGGGGCCAGTCAGCGTTGCCGGCCAGCCACGGGTTACCTCCTGGTTGTCCGTGGAAACGCCGTCCGGCCGGAACAACTTCCGGCCCGGCTCTGCCATCATTGGCTGTCACGCGGGGGCGGGGCAGAGGTCTCTGCTGATTGGCTGGCGTCCCCAGCGCCGCGGCGGAACACGACTTGGCGGCGGAGCGCAGGCCGGTTGGCCTCCGGTAGGACCAAGCGCTTCCGGTGCGTGTGGTGAGCGGCGGGCCCCGGGCGGGAGCGGGCCGGGACGGGGCAACGCCCGGAACGCTCCGTGCCTCTTAGCGCGCGGTCTTTCCTCGCCGCTCTCCTTCCTTTTATTTCCCGTTCCTTCCAAAAGGGCAGTGCTTTGGACCACCCTTACCTCTTATCATTGACAGTTCAGCTGACTCCTATTCATCCTTCAAAACCCATCTTTCTTTGTATCTTGTTTGTTGCCTTCATCGGTCTGTGACCTCCGGGGGCGGGATCTGTGTTTTGTGTTTAATCTCCGCCCACACCAGACCCAACTTGGGGCTTGACACAGAGTAGGTAATCAGGAAATGTTTGTTGGATGACAATATTCTTTTTTTTTTCCTTTGCCGCCCCTCTTCTCACCAGTTTGCATTCCACAAATATATGTAGACGCTGGGAATTGAATAGTGAACAAAACCAAAAATTCTGCCCTAATGGAGTTGACAAACTAATTAATGACTGTCAAGCCACTCTCCCCTTCCTTAGCCTCTTTTCTCCAGTACCCTTGCCTTTTCTTCCATCTGGCTGCCTCTCTTCTTCTTCGTTTAATCACTCCCCTCTTTCTATAAAAAATTTTCTTTTGTTTTAGAGACAGAAAAGGCAGCAAACACTTCCTAAAGTTTATGTTGTTCCCACCAGTTCCCAGCCTTCTCCCATTTTGTCTGTCTTCCTTGAATCTTCCTTGATTCCTCTCTCGCCCCATTTAATTGGTTCTCTTGGTTCAGTCTGCATCACCTCCTGTCACCTCTGCTCCCTGCCTTCTCCAGGGCATTTCCCAGAAGTGACCTCCTCTGAGTCCTGCCTCAGCCTCCTTATGTGATACTGCAACCCTAAGCTCACCTACCCTTCTTTGTTTTACTTTTCTCCTCAGGATTTGTCACCACCCGATGTCTTCTATTTCATTTGATTATAGTCTGTTTCTTCCCACTGGCCTGTGAGTGTGGTGAGCGTCATTTACTGTTCTGTTCACTACTGTGTTCCTCGTGCCCAACGTGGGGCTTGGTGAGTAGACAATACTTCATCAGTGTTTGTTGACTGACTGAACGAAATGCACGTGCAGCAGGGTGTATCAGGAACCCTGTGGTCCACTGTCTTGCGTTCATTCAGTCCTTTCTGCCTTGCCCTGTCAGGGCCATGCTACTGTTGGATCTTCAGCTATAGACCTCTGCTGTGAGTCGACTGCTGGGGGTGCTGGTTTTTTTTTTGTTGTTTTCTTTTTTTTTGCAACAAAGTCTTTTATTATGTATGGGTTTTTAAAATTACTTCCTCAATCTCTGCATACACAGGCAAAAATGTGTTATTTAACATATTGGAACTTGCAAAGTTGATCATTGCCTAGAGAAGGGAAGATTATTCACAAAATATGCTTAGCCAGGAGGCCAATTCATCTGCCCACCTCCAAGAACATGCAGATGAACATGATTGACAGACTGTCCCCCATCTGACAATCTGGGGAGGGGTGACTGGGTGGGGATCCATCCTAATGGCTAAGGACGGGCATCCTGTTGAGAATCTGGTGGGGTCCCACTGACAGGAAGGAATGGGGTGCTGTGGTGGGCAGTGCCTTGGCACAGGAGTTGAGACTGGCTTCAGGACCAGGCTTAGTATTTGGAGAACAGAAATGCCAAATCATTTTGTGAATGGTTCTAGTAGTTCCTAATTAGTCTCTCATACTAGTTTCTATACTAGTTCCATTTGAGATGGGCCGGCTGGTTTTAGAAGTTTTATTTAGAATGTGGCTTTGTGTGTGGAAGTTGTTACCTGCCTGGATTAGGCTTCGAGGGGGTTTGGCATTATTGAAGGAGGCTGACCACATGTATTGAATGGTGACCTGACCTGTATGGCAACAGAGCCCTTCAGTTGAATGTTGCCATTGGGGGATAGGTGTGGAAGGGGTGGGTGGTTCATTCCAAGGCCTGTGGAAACCCATTGTCTATTGGAAGAGGTGAGTGATAGACAGGCTGTCTGGAATGGCTTGACAAAGGACCTGGAAGGAATCTTTGGAAGTTGACCTGACCTCAAATGCTGGGAGAAGAGTTCAGCTGGAAACCAGGGCACACCTGGTTATCTTGGAAATGGTCCTTGCCCTGAGTGTTAGTCTGATTCCAGTACGCCCTCTGCTGTCCTGCAGTGGCCGCGCAGTCTTTATTTTCCTCTTAACTGTGCTTGGTGCTAACAGCACAGAAATAAATATATGAACTCAGACCAAGCACTCCTTCGAAACAGTGAAATTATCTGTACATAGTGGTTCAGATTTATAAGAAGAATTTATATTGATTGAGACAGTGTAACTCTTGCCTGAGCAAGTGTGCCGTGGGTCCAGCAATCACAGGCACCCATCCCTGGGCCAAGCAACCTCCTGCCTCAGCTCGATGCGGACTAGGCTTGCACCACCATGCTCGGCTAATTTCTATATATATTATTTAGTGGCCAATAATTCTTCTATTAACGGCGATGGGGTCCACCTTGCTCAAGGTGGTCAAACTCCTACCTCGAGCAACTGCCTGCCCTCGCCTCCCGAGGTGCTAGTACAGCGTGCCCCACGCACCCTGCCAAATATTCAGACCCAGATTCATCTGTGCCTGGTAGAGGCCGGTGTCGCCTAGCCACACACCTCAAATCCTGGCTCAAGCAATCCATCCACTGTCCGCTCCCAATACTGACACAGCTACCCACATGCCCAGCTAAAGTATGCATGTTTATTTCCTAATTGTTTCATTTTTAGTAGAACTAGGAGTCTTGCTCTTGCCAGCTGTCTTGAACCTGAGCTCAAACAATCCACCGGCCTGCCTCCAGAGCAGGATAGGTGAAACCACGACGCCCGGAAAATTTATAATTTATTTTAGATAATATAATAACATATATTAATAATATATATAATATAAACGAGCACTCCGTGCCCTGCAATGGCGTCACCCAGCTCACAGCAACCTCAAACACCTGGCCGGACAACCTTTGCCCACCAGTAGCTGACTACAGGCACGCCACCAGCGGCTAATTTTGTTAATTAGTGCCATTAATTCTTCTATTTTATAAAGAGGTCGAGCCTTCTCAGCGTCTGACTCCTGGGCTCAATGATCACACCGCCTCGGCTCCAGAGTGCTAGATTACGATGACCACCCCGGCTCCAGCGAAAATTGTTAAAAAGTAGAATTCACGTGATGAATCTGCCGTTACGTGAAATGGTGGATAGCTCACAACCAGAATGCTCCCATCCTAGACTGATGCCAGGCCTTACCCTTGTGTTGGTGGCTCTCCAACTGCTTATGGAACATGGATATCAGAAAGAGCATCTGCCGGCAGAGAGAAAAGGAAAGCGCTAAACGAGGGGAGAAAGGGGTATGGCATCCCTTCCACCTGTGTCCTGGACATCTCATTCCCTGTTCTCAGACCTAACCCTCAACGATGAATATTATTCCGTCTGAGTAAATAATAAGCCTCTTAACAGTATCTTATAGATTTACATAGAGCAAACAAAGCATAGTATTGTGTAAGGGAAGTTTCAGAGTGGATTGGATAAGATAATGTTATTATTCTTTCTTTTTTTTGAGACAGAGTCCCGCCTTTGTGTCAGGCTAGAAAGTCGAGGCCGTGGCGTCACTATCCAAGCAACCTCAACTCAGGGCCGGTGCATCCTCTGCTCCTCCGAGGCTGGACTATCAGCATGTGCCACCATGCCGGCTAATTTATATATTTATACAGTTGCCAATGATTCTTCTTTATAGAAGACGGGTCCTCTTGCTCGGCTGTTGGGAACTCCTACCTTGCAATCCGCCGCCTCGCCCAAGAGTAGGATTAAGGCCGAGCACGCCCCGGCCTTCTTCTTTTTAGCGAAGTCCACTGTGCCTGGCATGAGGCCGGTGTTCGCCTACTCACACAATCTCAAACTCTGACTCACATCCTCCGCCTCAGCCCGCAAGTACGGACACAGCAGCACTCCTCTGCACTTTCATAACAGTTGGCAATTAATTCTCTAATTTTAGTAGAGACAGGTTCGGGCCTCTCAGGCTGGTCCCCAACCTCCTAAGCTCAATACCACCTCTGCCTCGGCCTCCCAGAGTGCTAGATTACAGCATGCACCACACAGCATAAATATTATTGAGCACCTATGGCGGGCGCGCGGCTCACCCTTAATCCTAGCACTGCGCCAACGGTGGTGATTGCTCAGGCAGATTTAAACCGCCTGAGCACAGCGGACCCCGCTTACATAATAGAAGAATAAGCCACTAAATATAATAAAAATACGCATGGGGCACAATCTGTATCCAGCACTCCGGGGGCTGGCCTGCTGAACCCAAGAGAGTTGTTGACTAGCGTGCCAAGTACCTCACTCTACGGCAGTAAGTGGAGACTCTGTCTCAAAACAAACAAAACAAAAAACCATATATCTGCCAAAATGTCCCCAAAGATATTTAAATCTTGGTCTGTGGACATGGGGTCACACCTTAATCCTACACTCTGAGGCGAGCAGTGGATCACCAGGTCAGAGTCAAACCAACTGAGAGAGGACGTCTTACTAAAAATAGAAATTAGCTGGACAACTAAAAAAAATATATAAAATGAACTGTACATTTCAAAGTAGCTATTAATAGAAGGGAATAATTTGAATGTTTCTAGCATGAAGACATATTTAAGATGATGGATATCCCAAGTACACTGATTTGATCTTTACAAATTATATGAATGTATTGAGTTATCACATGGACCTCAAAACTATGTATATCTATTATGCATCAATTAAAATTTTTTTTTAAATTAAAAAAACAATAAAATAAAATGAACTGGGCATGGTGGCGCATGCCTGTAGTCCCAGCTACTCGGGAGGCTGATGAGAAGGATTGCTTGAGCCCAGGAGTCTGAGGTTGCTGTGAGCTAGGCTGACACCACGGCAAAAGAAAACAGGCCAGGCGCGGTGGCTCACGCCTGTAATCCTAGCTCTCTGGGAGGCCAAGGCGGGCGGATTGCTCAAGGTCGGGAGTTTGAAACCAGCCTGAGCAAGAGCGAGACCCCGTCTCTACTATAAATAGAAAGAAATTAATTGGCCAACTAATATATATAGAAAAAATTACCATGCATGTGGGCTCATGCCTGTATTCCCAGCTACTTGGGAGGCTGAGACAGAAGAATCGCTTGAGCCCAGGAGTTTAGTTACTGTGAGCTAGGCTGACGCCATGGCACTCACTCTACGCTAGGCAACAAAGCGAGACTCTGTCTCAAAAAAAAAAAAAAGAAACAAAAATTTGTGTCTTTCTGTCCATAAATTGTCTCTCTAGGTCTTCTTTTATGTCCTTCAAACAAAGGTTTAGTTTTCTTTGTGTAGGTCTTGTTTATTTTTTTTGTAGATTTATCCCTAGGTATACCATAGTCTCGTTTTAAAAATTACATCTTCTAGCCAGGCGTGGTGGCTCACGCCTGTAATCCTAGCACTCTGGGAGGCTGAGGCGGGTGGATTGCTCGAGGTCAGGAGTTCAAACCAGCCTGAGCAAGAGCGAGACCCTTGTCTCTACTATAAATAGAAGAAATTAATTGGCCAACTAATATATATAGAAAAATTAGCCGCATGGTGGCACATGCCTGTAGTCCCAGCTACTTGGGAGGCTGAGGCAGCAGGATGCTTGAGCCCAGGATTTGAGGTTGCTGTGAGCTAGGCTGACGCCATGGCACTCACTCCAGCCTGGCAACAAAGCGAGACTCTGTCTCAAAAAAAAAAAAAAATTACATCTTCTAATTGTGCCTGGTATATAGAAAAGTCTTTCTTTTTTGTGTTTATTCTTTTTTTTTTTTTTGAGGCAGAGTCTCACTCTGCCTGAGCTAGAGTGCTGTGGCGTCAGCCTAACTCACAGCAAACTCAAACTCCTGGGCTCAAGCAATCCTTCTGCCTCAGCCTCCCAAGTAGCTGGTACTATAGGCCTGTGCCACCATGCCCGGCTAATTTTTTCTATATATATTTAGTTGTCCAGCTAATTTCTTTCTGTTTTTTTAGTAGAGACGGCGTGTCAGTCTTGCTCAGCCAGGTTTTGAACTCCTGACCTTGAGCGAGCCTCCTGCCTTGGCTCCCATCCTGACCTTGAGCGAGCCTCCTGCCTTGGCCTCCCAGAGTGCTAGGATTACAGGCATGAGCCACTGCGCCTGGCCATCTTTTTTGTGTTTATTTTTGTGGATCTTGAATTCTTAGATTTCCTAGATGACATGCTTTCTTTTAACTATACAAATATTCTTCCATGCACATTTTATGACTCTTGCCTTGTTTGGTCTTAGGTAGTTTGCCCTGGAACGACAGCAAGAAACTGTCTTTAATGGCTTCGTTGGTGGCTTACGATGATTCGGACTCAGAAGCTGAGACTGAGCCTGCAGTAAGTTTTAATGATGCTGGCCAGGTGAAAGACACTTCTGGTGTGCCCAAACCTCCTGGGCAGGAGGATTTTTCATCTGGTGTACTGGATGTGACAAAAGAGGGGGCACAGCCCTCAAAGCATGGCTCTTGTGAAGACTCAAGGAGCCATTGTCTCCCACTGGCTCGGCTTGGGAGAAGTGATCTGGGATCTTGCCCCAGCCAGAGGCTTCAGTGGCCCAGGAAGGAGCCTGAAGTCACCTTCCCCACCAGCAGGCCTTCTTATTCTTCTTTGTGGACTACCCATGCTCCAGCCAGCCACACGCCCCTGGCAGCTTCCCACTTTAAGCAAGTAAAACTCCCCTGGCGTTCCCCCAAGTCATCTTTCCACGTTCAAAACGAATCTGAAACCACAGATAAAAATGGCAACTCTTTTCAGAAGAAAAGGTGTGAGGACTGTGTCATACCATATACTCCAAAAAGACTAAGACAGCTGCAAGCAGTGAGCACAGAAACAGCCAAGAGTAAAGACGTGGAGCCAGAGGGTACACCTGCTGGCTGTGCCCCAGCCCCTCTCCGTGTGGCCCCTGTAGCATCTGATTTTATTCAGCCATATTTGAGCAGTCATTATAAAGAAACCACAGTTCCTACAAAAATGCTTTTCTACCTGAGAGGCCACAAGGGCCCTGTAAACAGCATTCAGTGGTGTCCAGTCCGCTCTAAGAGCCACATGCTTCTCTCAACTTCTATGGATAAAACCTTCAAGGTAAGACTTGAGAGGAAACTTCTGTTATCAGATGTTCTTAGGAATAAATTGTTGGAATGTTTTGTCAAAACACAATGAGGTAGAAGGGTAGTTACAAGCTGAGCATTTCTTTTTGGAGATTTCTGTAATTATCTTTGGTGCATTCAAGAGAGGTTGTCTGTTGTCAGCTCTGTGTCATGGGTCCCTCCTGCCCCATCCCTTTTCTGATGCTACCTTGCCCAGGCCACCAGATTCTTACCCTCCAGAGGACCCTGGGAGGACAGGTGACTGAGAGTGATCAGAGGGAGAACAGCCTTGGGAACTGGGGACATCCTCTGTGACCCTGTTGAGCATTGAGCAGTGCCGGTTCTGGGCCAGTTCTGAGCTGGATGTGGGGGTGCGAAGGTAGATGGAGCCAGCCCCTGGCTTCAGAGCTTGCACAGTGTGACAGGAGCTATGGACAAGTGGCTGTGGGGATGGGACCGCGGCAGGTTACACAAGAGCAGTGTGTGTCCCAGTGAGAGGGCACCAGCCCTGCCTGGGAGGGCTTGGCGAAGGCTTCCTGACCAGGGGAAGTTTTGCTTGGTGAAGGGGGCAGAAGGGTGGTCTCGCTGTGTGTGCATTGGCCCCCAGCATGAGGGCTTGGAGAGCTGGCTTTGAGCATGAGGGGGTGAGGACCCAAGGCCAGGGAAGCAGCAGGGGCCACCAGATGAGGGAGGGCTTCCCGTGTCATGCTGGGGACTTCTGGTTTTACAACAAAACCTTTTTTTCATTGTGTTATTGATTTTTATAAGCTACTGCAGTAATAGCAATACAGTCCCCACGGTATGCAGGTACCTGGTGTGGCAGGGCATGTTGCACCCACCTGGGACCTGTCTCTAGCCCTTCCAGGCTGTGCACTGTCCCTCCTTTCTCTCTCTCTCTCTCTCTCTGGCATTTGGCAAAGCACCTGATATGTAGTGGGTGCCAAATAAATGCTAGCTGAACAAAAGCCTCTTGGAAAGAAAATGGCTTTGAGGGTCTTGGCTTCAAATCTAGCTTTGCTGCAGAGTAGCTGGTTGGCCAGCCCGAGCTGTCCTGCCTCGGGGTCTGGTGTCTCTTCTGTGAAAGGGCATAATTGTACCTATGTCATGTGATCATGTGAGAAAATTGCTTAAACAACACCTTGCACAGAGCCAGGTACCCCACAGTTGCTCAGTAAACATTGGCTTCCTCCCCCTAGTTTCCTGAGAGTTCTGGAACCAACTTACTCAAGTCATTTTATTTGCAAGTTACATTTTGAGCTTTTTTCCCTAGGAGGCATTTTCTGAAGTGACAAAAGGAGGCTCCAAGTATAGTGAAGTCTTTGAAATGAGCTGAATCTATGGGTGTCATTTTCAAGTGGCCAATTGAAGTCCTGAAGTAGCTTGTCGGTGTTCTTTTCTGGCAAAGCCAATGGAGTTATGTGGGGGATGTCACATTCTGTCTTCAGCCTGGGATCCCGGGGTTTTTACTCAGGTCTTTGGTGTTTCTTCTGAGATGTCTGGGGCTGTGAAGTCTGCATGGTGGCCTCTGGCATCGTGCTGTGGATCAGAGCATGCTTGGATCGATCCCACGGTCCTGGGGCTCCTCCGCTCTCCTTCCTGAGCGTCCGTGTGGCAGAGGGTGGGGGAGCTGTCGGGAGGGTTTCTGGCAGACCTGGGCTAGGCCTCCTCTCCTCTGGGCAGTGTCTGACTGGCCCTGGGGTCCCAGTGATGGTCCATGGTCCTCCCTGAGGTCACCTTCTTTTGGGGACTTGCTCCTGCCATGCTTTGGCACTTTCCCTCCCTCTCTCGAGGGTCCCTTCCCTTTACTTTCCTGCCTGTTAAATCCCTGCTGAACCAAGCCCAGCTTGGAGAGTCTTTGTCTCTGAAGAGTCTCCCCCACTAGACCATCCATTGAGCAAGTGTTTAGTGGGCTCTAGCTATGTGCAAGGCCCCATTTTGGGTGCTGAAGAAGTGCTGACCAAGACAAAGTCCTCACCCTTGAGGAGCTGACACAGTGGCCTGCCTCCCTTGTCTCTCATTGCGTAGGGGCTTGCAGCCTCACCCCCAGACAGGCTGACATCAGAGTGAACAGGGGTGTCCAGAGTACCCAGTCTACACCCTGGCATTTGGCAGGGGTTTTGTGGAAGATAGCTGTGACTGTGGGGCGGGCCACCTGAGGGGCACAGGCAGGCACCTGTCTACGACTCTGTAGGGAGGATGAGGGCAGTCTGGCAGATGTTGGCAGCGCAGGCTGGAGCAGGAGGTGAGTTGCTGTGCGCAGAGATGGGCAGAGCACCTTCTACCATGTTTCCCTGAAAATAAGACCTACCCATAAAATAAGCCCTAGCAGAATTTCTAAGCATTTGCGCAATATAAGCCCCACCCCGAAAATACGACCTCGTGATGGGCGTGGCTACGCAGTGTATCTGCACAACCCATGCATTTCATCGCGTTGTGGTAAAGAAGACAAGCAGCCCTTCTCAACTGCCCCATGAGAGCCCTACTGCTCGACAGGAAAGATTGGGGCCAATAGTTCTAAAGGAAATAGAGTCACAAGAAATTCAGGATGGAATTCGGGGTTTGGAGAGTTATGATGATGTTCCAGAAGAAGACGACTTAACTGTATTTGAAAAAATGTAGATTGTTGTACCGTACTTAAAAAAAATAACACATCCCCTGAAAATAAGCCCTGGGGTGTCTTCTTAAGGAAAAATAAATATAAGACCCTGTCTTCTTTTCAGGGAAACACGGTACTCGGTGCTGTGTTTCAGAGATGGAGGGGCGGCAGGTGGGTGTCCGCCTGCCAGCCCACTTCCTGAGTCTTGTCTCCTGATGGTGCGGGGCAAGCCTGGACTGGTGGGGACTGGTCTCCACCTGGTGTAGTGAAGTGCCCGTGGTCCCTGCTAGCAGGGTAGAACAACTTGGGCAGCTTGAGTCACTTCTATGTAGATTTCCTAAACAGAAGCATCCCCATGATAGTTTTTGAGCAGGCAGCGTCTGAGTGGAAGGATTGATTTCCGGCCTTGTGGAGCAGATGAATGTGCCAGGCACGGTGCCCTGGGGATGCAGGGAGAGATGTTCCGGCCCCACAGATGGGAAACTGGGCAGCAAAACTGTGATGCCTCATGACCAGAAGAGGGCACAGTTGGTCCAGCTTGGGATGGCAGCTCAGGCCCAGGGACTGTCATAGGAAAGGCCTGCTCCTGGGCAATTCATGGAGACCTGGGTCCAGGTCTGTGGGGCTGCCCTAGGAGGGCTGGGCACTGCTGCTGTGCCCACCTGTCTTGAGGAGGCGGTGTGTGCTAAAGGTGACGATGATGGCCCGGGCCCCTTGCTCTGTCAGGCATTGTCAGTCCCTCGGGATGAGGCCACTGCTGTCCACAGCTGCCAGGGCCAGCATCTGCTGACCCTCTTGTTACTCTGGCATCTTGAAAATCAGGGCTTTTATGAGCCATGGGTGCAAACGGAGGGCCAGGGTCCTCTCTGCTTTGAGATATGTGACAGTTTTCAGTGATAGGGTTATTCACCAAGTTGGTTTGGGGCACATTGATTTTGAGCAACTTTTCAGTGTGAAGAATGTGTGGTGGGGGCTGGAGGAGCTGGGATGGGAAGACAGACCAGGGACTGAGTGGGGGGCCCAGCACGTAGCTGGGGCTGGAAGTCCTGGCTGAGGCTGCAGGGATGCTGGACCCTCAGGTTGGAGTGTGGCCTGGGCAGCACATGGTGTTCTTTTCCTTTCCTGGTGTCAGAGGCGGAGCATGTGGTAGATTTTGGAAACTGTGTGATCTGGGGGCGGTGGGGTGTGGGTGCTGGGTCTGGAGTGAGGATAAGAGTCCAGCCAGCTGCAGCACAGTCTCTGGTGGAGAGCAAATGGTGGGTGCAACAGTGCACCCCCACCTCTGTATTGCCTTCCAAGGGTGCTTTTCCCCTCCTCTGTTGGTTAGTCTATTGGAGTGCCTTCTTGCCCCACTGGATCAGGAAGAAGGGAAGAGCTTGGGAGATCACAATACCTGTTTGAATCCTGGATCTGCAGCCTGGTGCTTCTGTGATCTCAGGCAGGTTGCTTCACTTCTCTGAGCCTCAGTTTGTCTGTCTGTAAAGTGGAGATAGTTACACATGCCTTGCTGGATTTTCATGAAAAATAAATGCTTTTGGATATGAATTACTTGGTGCAGTGCCTGGCACATAGTTGGCACTTAGTGTGTGCTCGAGTTCTTGCACTCCCCAAGAATTTTCTCCCTTCCTTGACTTACGGTGGTGTTTACCTAAGTAGCCATGGAACCATATCTGCTTCACCTTGCTAGGTTTTAAACTTCTTGAGCATGGGAACCATTGCCGGACCCATTTTTATATTCTCTATAGCATCTGGTACATAATTGTGTGCATGTTAAGTGATCAATAAAGATGCAAACATATTTTTTGGATTTTATCGCAAGCCTTTGGGAATAGATTGTCTTTGGAGTGCATAAATTCTATTCGCCACCAGGGGGCACAGTAACACTTAATATAAGCAGCTCATCCAAGCTTCTAGAATGTGGAAGAATCCTTGATTCAAGGTAACATTTACTGAAAAATGATTTCTTTTCTGATCAGGAGAAAAACAACACAGTCCAACTGATTAATCTGAAGAACGCAGAGTGCCAGTTCCTTCATCTCTTTAAAATGTAGCTTTGGAATTCATAAATTTCAATTGGGCACATTACAGTGGAAAGAGGCTTATTTTAATATGTTCTAAATGTTCTGTGAGCTGTAAAATATGCTTATATTAGTTTTGAAAAATTTACAGCTAGAGAAATTAAGTAAAATAAAACAATGACTCATAATTCCGCACCGATGCTCTCTCTGTTTTCTTCCCCGATGATCCCTTCCTGCCCTTGTCTATGAGTGCGTGTTTTTTTCATAGCTGTAATCCCAGCACGGATACCTTTCTATATGCTCCTTTCATTTCCCAGTGAACTCGTTTGGTTCAACACATTTGAGCACTCACTGCACGTAAAGGTAGAATTCAGACTTTGA